AGTTCAGTTCAGTTCAGTCACTAGGTCATGTCTGACTCTTTGTGATCCCATGGACTGCAGCACACCAGACTTCCCTGACCATCACCACCACCCAGAGCTTACTCAAACTCATGTCCATTGAGTCGGTAATGCCATCCAACCATCTCATCCTCTTTTGTCCCCTTCTCCTCCCACCTTCTCTTTCCCAGCATCAGGGTCTTTTGAAGTGAGTCAGTTCTTCCCATAAGGTGGCCAAAGTATTGGAGCTTCAGCCTCAGCATCAGTCCTTCCAATGAATATTCAGGACTAATTTCCTTTAGGGTTGACTGTTTTGATCTCCTTGCAGTCCANATATACAGCCTTGATGTACTCCTCTCCCAAATTTGAACCAGTCTGTTCCATGTCTGGTTCTAACTGTTGCTCCTTGACCTGCATACAGATTTCTCAGGAGGCAAGTAAGGTGGTCTGGTATTCCCATCTCTTGAAGAATTTTCCACAGTTTTTGTGATACACACAGTCAAAATCTTTGGCATAGTCAATAAAGCAGAAGTATATGCTTTTCTGGAACTCTTGCTTTTTTGATGATACAACAGATGTAGGCAATTTGATCTCTGGTTCCTCTGCCTTTTTAAAATCCAGCTTGAACATCTGGATATTCTCAGTTCATGTACTGCTGAAGCCTGGCTTGGAGAGTTTTGAGCATTACTTTGTTAGCGTGTGAGATGAGTCCAAGTGTGTGGTAGTTTGGACATTCTTTGGCATTGCCTTTCTTTGGGATTGGAATGAAAACAGCTTTTCTAGTCCTGTGACCACTGCTGAGTATTCCAAATTTGCTGGCATATTGAGTGCAGCACTTTCACAATGTCATCTTTTTGTTCTTAAATTAGCTCAACTGGCATTTCATCACCTCCATTAGCTTTGTTTGCGGTGATGATTCGTAAGGTCCACTTGACTTTGGACTCCAGGGTGTCTGGCTATAGCTGAGTGATCACACCAATGTGGTTATCTGGGTCATGAAAATCTCTTTTGTATAGTTCTTCTGTGTATTCTTGCCATCTTTTCTTAATTCCAAAGAAAATAGCTAGTTCCCCAGCAAGGAGAGAAAAGAAAGCCTTCTTAAGTGATCAATGCAAAGAAATAAAGGCAAATAATAGCATGAGAATGACTAGAGATCTCTTAAAAAAATTTAAAAATACCAAAGGAATATTTCTTCAAAAGATGGGCACAATAAAGGACAGAAATATTACAGACCTAACAGAAGCAGAAGATATTAAGAAAATGTGGCAGGAATGCACATAAGATCTATGCAAAAAAGATCTTAACAAACCAGATAATCACGATGGTGAATTTAAAATTAGCTACTGCATATTTTATTTTAAGGCATTTAACTGTGTTTTCTGATGTAACTTTCATATATTTAACCAAAATTTAAGGTGATTAAATTACATGTTAAATAAAAGGATAGAAAATCATGCTATGGCAGGTGGGGAAATACATAACATATCTGTTCACTGGAGAAAAATGACTGGGTTTATATATTAATTGTCTTTAATTGATTGTCTTTAGTCTCATGACGACTCTTTTTTTCTCATGAAGTTCTCATTCTTATGAAGAGTTTTTCCAATGTTGGACATTACTGACATGAATTATGTGATTTGTCCTATTAAAATCTTGGCATATAGATGATCTTTAAAAACTCTGGGGAAAGTCCCAGTGAATTAATTAAACAGGAACCAATCTTGGACATATTCCAGTTCTAAGACTCAGTGATACTTGTAGCTGGAAGGGATGAAATATCCCATGATCTTCACCCTTAAGGGTAAGAAGATGCTATCCACTTAGTAACTGGCATCGAGTTTTCCTGAGGTCTTTTCTTAGACTTAAAGTATAAATTAAAAAAAAAAATCACATGAATATCTTTCAAAATCTTAGGTCAATTAATCTGGCCAGCTAGCATGACAGAATGAGAAGTGCTAAACAGCCAAATGCTACTTTTCTTTTTCAAGTTAGTAGAAAGAAGTTACTTGTGAAAAATTTTCCTGGGAAATGGCTACTTGATATCTTCTATGTATATATAGGATTTCTTGGTCATTTTGATAAATTTCTAATTTGATAAACTTTTGTTTTTCTTTATGCACCCTGGAATTCCTTTCAAATAATCTACACTGCTCATAAAAATGCCTTGAATAATCATGAGACTCCATGAAGAAAATGGACAGACAGCCAAATGAAATAAAATTTATCCTCAAGTAATAAAGCAGCCTTTTGCCCTCTGTTGTCAAACTGGATGAAAAATAATTCTTAGTGTTTACGAGCAACTTAAAGACATCGTTCAGATTCTGAAGAAACCTCTAAAGGTAAGACTAATGGTAAGTCATGGGAACCAGATTCACAAGTGTGGAATGTTCTTTATTGCAAAAGAAATTATATTACTTTGAAATCAGTCAAACTTAGATTCAGTTCTAGATGTAACCCTTAAAAATATGTGATTTGAGGGAAATGAATGAGATGTTCTGAGCATTAGTTTCTTCCACTATAAAATGGGAATTCCAGTTCTTGTTACTCTGAACATTAAGTGTGATACATTAAACTATGAGTCTGTGATTGGAATATACGGTTAATACTTTTCAGCAGCAGGATGATGTCATCAGAATAAAATTTAAAAGGACAATTTGGGCTGCTTCAGGAGAACCAGTTTTTGGAGGCCAAAATAAACATGGAGAGGTTTGGCAGGAGGCTACTGTAGTAGACCAGGAAGAAATTAAGAAGCAGGATATGATCAAACTTGTGATAGATTTTGAAAATTGAGTAAATAGGAATTATTAAATTTTTATGAGAGTATCAAAGAGTGAAGAGCATTGAAATTTTTGTCTGAACAATAACATGGAAAATAATAGGATTTAATAGATAAATAGGGAGAACCTGTTGAAATTTTGTATAGAGAATGCTTATATTTATAGTAGAACTTTTAAAAGTTAGCTTTATAAGTACTACATTGCCAGTAAACTATGCCAAAATTAGAGATGTTGCATATCAGCTCAGTTGCTCAGTCCTGTCCCACACTGTGATCCCATGGATTGCAACATGCCAGGCCTCCCTGTCCATCACCAACTCCCAGAGTTTATTCAAACTGATGTCCATTGAGTAGGTGATACTATCCAACCATCTCATCCTCTGTCTCCCCCTTATCCTCCTGCCTTCAATCTTTCCCAGCATCAGGGTCTTTTCAAATGAGTCACTTCTTCACATCAGGTGGCCATAGTATTGGAGTTTCAGCTTCAACATCAGTCCTTCCAGTGAATATTCAGAACTGATCTCCTTTAGGATGGACTGGTTGGATCTCCTTGCAGTCCAATGGACTCTCAAGAATCTTCTTCAACACCACAGTTCAAAAGCATCTATTGTTCAGTGCTCAGCTTTCTTTATAGTCCAACTCTCACATCCATACATGACTACTGGAAAAACCATACCTTTGACTAGATGGATCGGTTTGTTGGCAAATTTATTGTCTCTGTTTTTTAATATGCTGTCTATTTTGGTCACAACTTTTCTTCCAAGAAGCAAATGTCTTTTAATTTCATGGCTGCAGTCATCATTTACGGTGATATTGGAGCCCCCAAAATAAAGTTTATCAATGTTTCCACTATTTCCCCATCTATTTGTCATGAAGTGATGGGGCCAGATGCCAGGATCTTAGTTTTCTGTACGTTGCATTTTAAGCCAACTTTTCCACTCTATTCTTTCACTTTCATCAAGAGGCTCTATAATTCTTCACTCTCTGCTATAAGGGTGGTGTCATCTGCGTATCTGAGGTTATTGATATTTCTCCCAGAAATCTTGATTCCAGCTTGTGCTTCTTCCAGCCCAGTGTTTCTCATGATGTACTCTGCATCTAAGTTAAATAACCAGGGTGACAATATGCAGCCTATTGCATACACATGTTTGAAAATTAGGGGAGAAAGGGACTGACCCAAAATTAGACTGTGGTAGCATTTACTGGTCAGGAAAAGGGAAATATCCACCTAAAGACCTAAGAAGTGTCAGTGAGGTTTGAGACAATTCAGGACAAGGATCTTCTGTTCACAGTTTGATCTACCTACACTGTAAATTACCTTAAGTGGATCTAATTTATTATACTTTCTGACTCTATAAGTGATGCACATTTTCATGGAATTTTCTCCCATCTATTTTATGCTTTCAATTTTTTAAAAACTCAACCAAAGCATTGCTTCCTCCAGGAAGCCTTCTTTGATTACAGTTTGATATACTCCTAAAGTGAAGGAAAGTGAAAGTGAAGTCATTCAGTCGTGTCCAACTCTTTGCGACCCCATGGACTGTAGCCTACCAGGCTCTTCCCTCCATGGGGTTTTCCAGGCAAGAGTACTGGAGTGGGTTGCTATTTCCTCTCCAGGGGATCTTCCTGACCCAGGGATCAAACCTGGGTCTCCCTCATTGTAGGCAGACGCTTTTACCATCTGAAGGACCTGTGATCCTAAGCACTGTGTGATAGTCATCAAAAAAAAAAATAAAGTTTCTCAGTCATGTCTGATTCTTTGTGACTGCTTGGACTACAATTTGCCAGGCTCCTCTCTCCATGGAATTTTCTAGGCGAGATAATGGAGTGGGTTGCCATTTCCTCCTCCAGTGGATGTTAACAATCCTGGGATCAAACCTAGGTCTCCTGCACTGCGGGCAGATTCTTTACCATCTGAGCACCAGGGAAGCCAAATATTAGTGGCATATATAACTTGGGTCTGGAATTGCCTGATCCCTTGTTATGTACCATATCACTGAGGGAAAGAAACTATGCCTTACGCAACTTGTAATCAAAATGTTCGTGACATATTAGACACAAATAGATGTTCTACATACATTCTTCAAGTGAATGTGTAAATAAACAATTGTGCATTTAAGTGTTTTCCCGTTTAAGTGTTTTTTTTTTTTTTCAATTTAAATGTTTTTCCCCTTGTCTTTTAGACCAACTGCTTCTAATACCTGAACTCAGCTTCTGTCCAGACTGGATGGAACCAAGGAACAATGTAACTTACTTTGTCCTCCTGGGCCTCACTCAGAATCCAAAGGAACAGAAACTACTTTTTGTTATGTTCTTGTTCTTCTACATTTCGACCCTGATGGGCAACCTGGTCATTATCGTGACTATAACTGTCAGTAAGACCCTGAACTCACCGATGTACTTTTTTCTTGCTAGCTTATCATTTATGGATGTCACTTATTCTTCTTGTATTACACCTAGAATGATTTCAGACTTATTCTTAGGGGAAAAAATCATATCATTTGAATCTTGCATGACTCAGTTGTTTACAGAGCACTTTTTTGGTGGATCAGAGATCATCATTCTGCTGGTGATGGCCTACGACCGCTATGTGGCCATCTGTAAGCCCTTGCATTATTTGGTGATCATGAGGCAGAGGGTGTGTGTTGTGTTGCTGGCGGTGTCCTGGGTTGGAGGCTTTCTGCACTCAATTATTCAACTCAGCACTGTTTATGGGCTCCCATTCTGTGGCCCCAATGTCATAGATCACTTTATGTGTGACATGTTCCCTTTATTGAAACTTGTCTGTACTGACACCTATATCATCGGCATCTTAGTGTTGGCCAATGGAGGACTGATCTGCACTCTTGGTTTTCTGCTCTTACTCGTCTCCTACGGAGTCATCCTGCACTCTCTGAAAAACCTGAGTCAGGAAGGGAGGCGGAAAGCCCTCCAGACCTGTGGTTCCCACATCACTGTGGTTGTCTGCTTCTTTGTTCCCTCTATATTTGTAAATGCAAGACCTGCTAAGACCTTCCCCATTGACAAATCATTGAGTGTGTTTTATACAGTCATCAGTCCCATGCTGAACCCATTAATCTACAGTCTAAGAAATTCTGAGTTAAGTAATTCCATGAAGAAGGTCTGGAGAAGGAACATCATAGCTCATTTTAAATAAATGCATTAGTTACTATGAAAGGAGTCATTTGACATCAGCACCATTTCCTTTGAATGCAAAAGTCATTTTGGGCTTAGTCACTCAGTTGTGTCCAACTCTCTGAGACCCCATTAACTGTAGGCTGCTAGGCTTCNCCAGTTTACGGATTCACATTTTTCACTCCTTTTCATGAAAAAAGAGCAGAGAAGATATTGCAGTTCATGGAGTAGCACAGAGTTGGACTTAGAGGCTGAATAACAATAGCAACTCTTTTTCAGGACAGGATGATTTTTATTTAGATTCTTATCATTTAAATGAACTTTTTTATTTATAAAATTTAAAATATTTATTTATACATATTGCCTTTTTTACTATACTTCTGTGGCATTATGCACAAAATCTTTAACTTAATACTCTCCTATTTACAAGAAGATTTGAAGTAAACCAGATATCAATAAAGAGCATAAATGGAAACCAAACCATATGGTATGCAGGGTCACATGAATTTCCTATTTTTTTCTCAGCATTTTCCAGCCCTAGTTGTTGGCCCTAAATTTTTTTTTTTTCATCTGGTAATAATCTTTGCAAATGCAAGTGTAATTAACATACATATATCTGCTTCTTTCTATATATGTAACACTTGCTTTTACTATACAACATCTTGAAGATGTTTCCATACAAGTCCATATATTTTGTACATGCATGATCAGTCGTTTGTAGTTTCTGACTCTTTGAGATCCCATATACTATAGCCTGCCAGTCCCCTCTGTCCGAGGAATTTCCCAGGCAAGAATACTGGAGTGGGTTGCCATTTCATACTCCAGGGGATCTTCCTGACCCAGGATCGAGCTCGTGTCTTCTGCGTCTCCTGCACTGGCAGGCAGATTCTTTACCACTGTGCCACCTGGGAAGCCCAGTCATATATAAGTATAATTTCTCTTATAGTGCACAGTTCTCCTTATAAATTTATAGTGAAATTAATATGTACATTTCTATTAATGTGATTGCTAAACTTTTCATATGGCAAATAATATTCTAATTAATGTATGTTTTATGTATATGCAAATTTAATTTTATAGGGATAGATTGTTCCTATGATATTTGAATGAATGGTCAGGTAATATATACATTTAAATGTTGATGTTGATAGTTATTGCCACCTTATCATACTTGAGGTTAAGTAGTTACAGTACTGTCCACTCTATGAGAATCCTTTTGTCCACATCTCAATCACCAGTACCTGATAAATATATATGACATCTGATTAAAGATACTCTTATTCTTTAACCACAACCCTTTTGATATAATTGAATCTGATAATCTTTCCACATGTTCAATTTGATTTGTATTTTCTGTGAGTTTATATGTATATAAATACAAACAAATTTTTACATATATATTCTTTCGAATTTTACTTATTTAATTCAATGGTTAGTCTTTTCTATACTGACTTTTATGCGATATTTATATAGTAAGAAATGATCACTTTTACCACTGCATGAGTAGTTTATGCTTTCTGGTTGTGTGAAAGTGTCTCAGCTGTGTCTTACTTGTGTGACCCCAAGGACTGGAATCTGCCATGCTCCTCTGTCCATGGAATTATCCAGGCCAGAATATTGAGGTGGGTAGCCGTGCCCTTCTGGAGGGGATCTTCCCAATTCAGGGACTGAAACAAGGTCTCCTGCAATGCAGGTGGATTCTTTACTGTCTGAGCCACCAGCTGCTAAACAAATAGAATAACAACACAGGACTATGGTACCACTCACTGTAGTGAAAAGCAAAACCTAAACAACCAAAAATATTTGACAAGTAAATGAATACAATCTATTCATAAGATGGATTATCATGCAGCTATTAAAAATTGTGTTTTCAAAGAAAATTTGAAGACATGAGAAAAAGTGCATGATATAATGTTAGTTGAAAGGGGATGATAAAAAAATGCACACACAATATAACATCAAATTAGGTTTAAAAATTAGAATTCTTGTTGTTTAGTTGCTAAGTTGTGTCTGACACTTTTGCTACCCTATGGACTGTAGCCCATCAGGCTTCTCTATGAGAAATCTCTATGAGATTTCCCAGGCAAGAATACTGGAGTGGGTTGCCATTTCCTTCTCCATTTCCTGGATACATGTTTTTAACTTTATAAACTATGTAGAATGACTTTTGCATGTAAATTTTTTATTTTTACATTTTATATTCAATTTTTTTTCATTTGTATATCTTGCTTGGAAAGATACATTTTCCCATTGCACTTGTGCCAAATAGTCTTCAATTCTTTTCCAGTGCTTTTTTTAAAAAGCATTTTTATATCTTATACTAAAACTTTTGATTAATCTTGAATTTATTTTGCTATAGGAGTTAAAGAGGGATCGAAATTTTAGTGGTTTCTCTATATTTTATGGTTTTTAAAAATAGTTACATAACTATCTTTTTGCCATTAACTTGAAATCTTGATTTTTTTGCTTCCTGAAACAAAATCCCAGTGTATTTGGATCCAATTCAACACACACTTATGCTTCACTAATCTCTTTTTTCATGTGCAGGCTGACACATAATTGCCATTATATGTAAGACATTTTGATCTGTGAAGAGACTAGCAGTCTCTCATTCCTATTGTTTCTCAGAAATATACCTAGACTTGAGGGTTGCAATGCCCTCCTCCAGGGATCTTCTCAACTCAGTGATGGAACCCAGGTCTCTGGTGTCTTCTGCATCACTGGTGGGTTCTTTACCAGTGAACCACCAGAGAAGCCCCCAATACACACTGCTGCTGCTGCTAAGTCACTTCAGTCGTGTCCGACTCTCTGCGACCCCATAGACGGCAGCCCACCAGGCTCCTCTGTCCCTGGGATTCTCCAGGCAAGAATACTGGAGTTGATTGCCATTTCCTTCTCCACCAGTATGCACTACTATATTTAAAATAGATTATAACAAGGCCTAGTGTATAGCACAAGGGAACTCTACCCAATATTTTGTAATAAACTAAATGGGAACAGAATTTGAAAAAGAGTAGATACATGTATATGTATAAGTCAGTCACTTCGCTGTAGACATTTTGTAGCAATGTAGACAATTGTAACAATGTGGACAGTGCTAATCACTATACTCTAACATGGGCTTTCTTGCTGGCTCTGTGGTAAAGAATCCACCTGCAAAGCAAGAGCTAATGGAGATGTGGGCTGGATCCCTGGGTCAGGAAGACCTCGTGGAGGAGGGCATGGCATCCCTCTCCAGTATTCTTGCCAGGAAAGTCCCATGGACAGAGGAGCCTAGCAGGCTGCTGTCCACGGTATCACAAGAGTTGGACACAAATTTAAGACTAAACCAGTACATATTTAACATAGATGATAACAAGCCCTACTGTATAGCACAAGGACCTCTACTCAACGTTATGTAATAAACTAAGTAGGAAAAGAAACTGAAAAAAGGTAGATACCTGTATATGTATAACTCAGTCACTTTGCTGTAGATCTGAAACTAGCACGTTGTTAATCACTACACTCTAATACGGGCTTCCCGGTGGCTCTGTGGTAAATCTGCCTGTAATTCAGGGGGACAGCAGATGCAGGCTTGGGTGGGGAAGATCCCATGGAGGAGGGCAAGGCACTGCACTCCAGTATCCTTGTCAGGAACATCCCATGGACAGAGGAGTCTGGCGGGCTACAGTCCACACGTTTACAAAGAGTCGGACATGACTGAAACCACAGCACACAAGCATACATGCCCCAAATTAAAATAAAAATTTAAAAATAGAGATTTTAATTTAGTAGTTTTGTCATTGGATTGACATATTTGCCTCTTAAATTACCCAGATGTATCTGAAGCCAATGATATTTGCCTATACTTTGGGCTATCAAGCTATACTTTATATTCATATCATAAATCAATTAATGAGGTCACCTTAGATCTTATATTTACTTTTAAAATTATGGCCAAGTATACGTGACAAAATTCATAACTTTAATCATCTTAAAGTGGCATTAAGTTATGCAACTATGAGCCCTGTCTATATCCAGAACTTTCCCAACTTCTCAAGCTGAAATTCTAAAACCGTTAAACAAAATTCTCCATTTTCCCTCACTGACCTGTGGGCAGCCACCATTCTACTTTTTGTCCTTGATTTGACTCTTTAAGTGTCTCAGTCAAGTGGAATCGTACAGTATTTGTTTTTTGTGACTGTCTTTTTTCACTTAATGCCATATTATAATATATATATATATATATATTTTTTTTTTTTTCATAAAATGCTCTTGGCAGTCTTGTTGAAAATTATCTGGGACATATACAAAGGTTTCTTTCTAGAGTCTGTTTACTCCATTAGTCTGTTGTCCATCTTTATCCCAATGCTAGTGATGAGGTTACTGTAGCTTTGTAGTATGTTTTAGAACCAGGAAGTGTGAGACCTCCAACTTTCCTCCTTTTCAAAACTGTTTTGGCAATTTTGAAGTCCTTAATATTACATACGAATTTTATCATGAATTTTTCTACTTCTGCAAAACCATTTTTATAGTTTTGATAAGGAGTGTACTGAATCTGTAGATCACTTGAAGCAATATTAATATCTTAACACTACTAAATATTCTAGTTCATAAATGTTTTCCCATATTTGTGTGTGTTCTATAAAATTTCTGAATAAAGTTTTGTGATGTTCAGTTTAAAATGCTTTCGTCTCATTGATTAAGTTTTCTCTTAACTATTTTCTTCTTTTTGGTGCTCTTGTAAGTGGAATTATTTTCTTAATTTCTGCTTGATTTGTCCATGACCATATAAAAATTCAACAACATTTCACAAAAAACTCTCAGCAAGTTTGAAATAGAAGGAATGTGCCTGGACATAATAAGGTCCACATGTGACTGATCCACGGCTAACATCATCCTCAACACTAAAGCTTTGAAACTTCCACATTAAAATCTGGAAGAAGACAAGTGCTCACACTTTCATAAGTCCTTTTTTAAAAATTTATTTATTTTTTATTGAAGGGTAATTGCTTTACAGAATTTTGTTGTAAACTGTCAAAC